GAGCCAATTTTAGGTGGGGCACAAGTGCTCTCTGTGCCCCCCTACCAGCTGGAGCGCCTGCCGTCAAGAGGGGCACCAGCACTCTGGAGGAGGGGCATGTGCCCCCCCACATGCTCCCCTACACATCGCCTATGATTTGAATGTGTGCCCAGGATCAATAAACTCCAGAGCTTATTGCTGTTAAAACATGCACCCGGGACTGCAGTATGTTGAGCTGGAGTGGAGCAGCTGGCACGGGGCTCGGGGGAGGTGGTCAGCCTGCCAGCTCAGGGAGGCTCCCCCTGGCTCAATGTGTTGCAGAGGGGCTGGCTGGGCACGAGGGTGCTTCAGTACAGGGTTAGCTGGCAGGCAGCTCCCACACTGAAGAACCCTTGCGCTCCAGACAGCTGGGGCAGTGTCTACACATGTACTGCTGCAAGGTATTTTACTCTGTAGCAGGACAGTACTTATATTTACAAGTACTAACCTGCTGCAGAGTAAACTAGTTTACTCCAGCTTAATGGGGGGCACACGTAGACGCCAAAGTCTACTGCACAGCAAGTGTCTTGTGTAGATGCACCCACAACGATCAACATTTGAGCAGCACACTGCGTAATGTGCAAAGCCCTCGGTCTAATCAGTTGATCACAACCAGCCAATAAAGAAGCTTTTTTGATCTAAAGGACTGGCGGTAGGATTGTCTGTCAGTCAGCACTGCAATTGGAAGAACAAAGGGACCCAAAAGAATGAAAAAATAACTTACAAACAAGTAACCGAAAAAAAAAAAAATCAACTGCTAGGCTTTGCATTTTACATGTAGGGACCAGCATGCCGTTTGCTGCTATAGGAACCACTTTACCACTCCTGCTCTTCCTACCATATTGCCTGTGTTTATATTATCTGAAATCAAGATCACCAGGTAAGCTCCTCAAACTAGGAAACTGCCTTAGTGTTTGAGATGCATTTCTCAGGTGCAGAGTCCCTTGGTGTTGTATAGTATCAGTGCTGGGTATTTTAGCTTTGCTTTGTGCACAAAGCATTCATGTAGGTCTGTATTTTTATGATAAGGACTGATAAATCTTTTCTTAAATTTCACAAAATGGCATAATATAACATAACACAGGCTGTGCATTTTATATTGATTTTTTTAGTCTCCCCCTTTACTATTTTTTTACTTTTTGGAAGTTACCAAGGTGTCTGTGGTGTATATTATAAAAGCAAGACCTAAGAAAACTAATAGGAAAAAATAAAGTGTACAAGCTAACACTGGTTCATATTCTTTGCTCCTTTTCCTCTTAACCGCACCAATAAATCTGGCAAAAAAAAAGGGCATCCTGCTGTATGATGCTTGGGATATATGTACGCTTGGAGCTTGCCCAGTGCGTGTCATCCTTTATAGCAGTGGTGAAAAGGTAGATCCAAGAACTGCGCACAACACTATGGAAAATATTTTACAAGAAATTTTTGTAGTTGCCTTCAGCAGTAGGATGCTTCAGTTTCACGTTTTCATTTTCCCCTCAACTCCACTGAGTTCCACAACAGCAGGGGGGGCTGGACCCAATGATCTCGCAAGGCCCCTTCTGTCCTTAAACTTCTGTGAATCTGTGAACTCTTTTTAAAGGCAAGGAGAGATTCTTCAGGAACAGCCCAATTTCAGCAACTGGGTCATTTGGCGCTATTTGGCATTTGCAAGAATCAGGTGAAAACCTCAAGATTTTTAAAAGACAGGGCTAAATCCTGAGTTCGGATAAAATGGCACCGCTCCATTGACTTCAGCTGACTTAAACCAGCTGAAGATTTCACCCATACCATACTTTTATCAATATCCTTACCATAAATTTGGGGTAAATACTATTAGTAGAGGAAAGAGCGTGGCTTTAGAACGCAGTTGCTGTACATGCTCGCTTTCTTGTCGCACCAGCAAGCTCCCTTGCACAGTGAACTCTGCGGAAGACTAAGCTAATCCGTGCCAGCAACAGTCTCCAATCTTGTACTATATTCATAGTTCGTCTCGCACCTCAAAGCTGTTAGCAAAGCCCTGAGTGAATTCATCATAAAAGTAGTGTGTTACCATAAGCTAGAAAAGGATTTTCAAAGAATTGTGCTACCAGCCGATAAAGGATTTTGGAGACTGTAAATCTTGCATTATTTATGTAATACACAGTATGTGAGAGGATGGGCTGACATATTGCTCAGTGCAGGAAGAGGCTGTAATGAATTTTTCAGCTTCACATAGAGACAAGAAATAATGGAGACATTCAGCTAATAAACGATTCACCACCAAAAGCCAATGTCTGCTATGACTGGCAGCATAAGCCCACAATTAATAAACTATGAAAATAAAACTCTAATTCAATGCAGGTTTAAGGTAAAGGTGAAAGACGGGGAATACAAACAAAATAAAGAACTTGACCTTATACCAGCTTCAGAGATAAAATCCCCACTGAGGTCATTAGGAGCCCTGAAGACGGTGGGATACAGGCCCAGCCACTAGGTATTCAGAAGAGACAAGCTCAGGCAGTTGCTGACTTAAGCTGTCAGCAATCCTCCTTCCAGTCTCAGCAGGTACTTCCAGTTCTCCTGTTTTCCAGCTTCTCCAAGCAAATTGTTTGAGATGTATCATGTTGGAAACTTTCAAAGAAGAATTATGTTTCACAAAAAAAAAACGTGGAGGTTTTGGCATACCAGATAAAACTGGCAAAGACCTTTCCAAATGTTTCTTGGGGAAGGATAACACTAAAGAGCTAAATAGTCAGGTCAGCAGTCACAGGTCAGCCTAATTCACAGTACGGACTTGAACCTCAGTCACCCTTATGACAGGGGAGTGGCCTGCCAGCCACATGTTCTGGGGCAGGGTTCTCCTTTTCCCTGAACCTAAGAAAGTCAGAAATCTGGAGTTGTTACTAAACACAACAGTCACATCCAGAGGTAAGCAAAGGGTCCAAAAGTGGTTTAAGGAGGAGAAAGGAAAGAAGCCTTCAGTGTTCACACAAAAATTTCTTGTAAAATATTTTCCATAGTGTTGTGCATAGTTCTTGGATCTACCGTTTCACCACTGCTATAAAGGATGACACGCACTGGGCAAGCTCCAAGCATACATATATCTCAAGCATCATACAGCAGGATGCCCTTTTTTTTGTTTGTTTGTTTGTTTGCCAGATTTATTGCTGCAGTTAAAAGGAAAAGGAGCAAAGAATATGAACCAGTGTTAGCTTGTACACTTTATTTTTTCCTATTAGTTTTCTTAGGTCTTGCTTTTATAATATACACCACAGACACCTTGGTAACTTCCAAAAAGTAAAAAAATAGTAGAGGGGGAGACTAAAAAAAAATCAATATAAAATGCACAACCTGTGTTATGTTATATTATGCCGTTTTGTGAAATTTAAGAAAAGATTTATCATAAAAATACAGACCTGCATGAATGCTTTGTGCACAAACCAAAGCTAAAATACCCAGGACTGATACTATACAACACCAAGGGACTCTGCACCTTAGAAATGCATCTCAAATGCTAATGTCCTTGAAATTAGATTTTTCCTATCATTAGCAAAGAAAACTTGGAAACATTCACTGCATTTACTCATTTGACATGTGCAAAAATTGGAGTATACTAGGAACAAGTGACCTTAGCTGGTGACCAGGCAGCATGAATGGGAAGCTTGAATTCATTCAGAGCTCCACGGAAGCCAACAAGGCTCCAAATTAATGGAAGCCACCATCATGTTCATCACTGCAGGCTTGAGTCCTTTACACACAGTAATCTAGAGGCAGGAGAAGAGGAAAGGACAAATACACTGAATACAGAGTCTTGTGGATGGATCATGGTGTGATAAGGAACTGCCAGGTTCAGACCCAAGGGCTGATATATTAATTGCTCTGAGCCAGTCCCTTCGCCTCCTGATCTATAAAGGTTCCCTCATGCAAAATGCAAGAGTGAATTATTCTATAGAATGAGCTCAAACCATCAACTCTCTCTCTTCTGCTTAAAGGTGCTTAAGTTTTATTACACAAATCAAACATCCAGAAGAGTGAGGAAAGTTTGAAACACACACTTGAAGCGCCCTCCTTTTGATCTCCAAAGGGCTACATTTTTCTTTATAAAAAGGTGCGCAAAAACTATTTAACTGTCACTTAACTAAAAACCTTTCAAATAACTTTTATTTAAAGCTAAACAAATTTCACTTTTTAAATAAACATTTAAATAACTTAATTGTGCAATATATTTTGAGATGTGTTTGAGATGGCAGCTGTTGGTTACTATGACCCTGGGCAGGGCTTATGTAGGATAGGCAGGACTTTGCTAGAGCCTTCAAAACCTGTATTTGTCTCCCCAGGAGACAAAGGCAAAGAAAGCGAGACAGAAAAAAGAAAGGAACAGGAAGCATCCAGAGGGATGAGAGATCATTTCAATTCCACCAAAGTAGAGTAGACAACTGCAGATTACATATACGTTTCCACTAGAAGAGATTGCCTTTAACTTAGTCTGAAAACTCCACTGTAAATGTGGTGAATACTTTAGGACACAAGTCTTTCTTCATTGTACAACCAAGTATAGAAGCGAGTCTGGGAACATATGAAGCTAACCTGCCCTTCAGGAAGGAAATGGATTTCTTAACATGAATTCACTGCTGGTCAGTGAAATTTAATTGCAGGAATCCTTTGCTGGAATGGGAGGATTTTAAGACTGCGATGTTGACTGTAATCCATATTTGCAGTCAGGAGAAAGCAAGAACACTGCCATGCAGCTGAACAAGAACGACTCAGAGCACCACAGGGGCTCTTGAAATCTCTGAACTTTCATGCATTATTATTTTTTTGGCCTCAGAATGTGCTGGTCTGTGTAAATAGGACACAGCAAATAGCACAGCAAAGCACTGATTGCTTGGCACTGTTTATGCACTCCCCAGGTGGAACTTGTTCCTTCCTATCTTTGTACAGCACTGTACTAATTTCACAAATATGCTAAACTACAGAGAAACAAGGAATGAGAAGTGTGTATTTTTGCTGTTGTTTTGTAGGTTGGAAATGTAAGAGTACAGGGCATGGATTCTCTTTTCAGGGGTTTAGAGGGTCTTAAATTGCACTGAAAGACAAGCCAAGGATAAAACAAATGCAAGAGTGATTCTCCTCCTCGCTTCCTCAGGTACGTATCAGTGCAGGTCTGCTGATTTCAATAACATTGTCTTTGCAACCATGTCAATAAGGAAAGGGAGAGAGTTGTAGCATTCAGGAGAATCTTCATGAAGAGTTACTGAATAAGAGAAACAATAAACAGGTACAATTTTAATCCTGTAGAACTGGGAGGGAGTACTGTACTTCCAACTGTACTGATTTATAATGGCCTAATTTTGCTTTGCAAAGTAGCAAGCAAGCTCTGGAGAGGTGGATGAAGCAGTTTATTAATGCTGACAGTAAATTATCAGTAAAGCCATGAATATGATCTAGGATACCTGATGCCCATCCCAATGTTCAGACCACTAGATTCACCTCTCACATTTACTCCACGCTGTTTTGGAACACAAGGCCCAGAATCTATGGCCATGTGGCAGTCCCACAGCCTTGGGGCCTTCAGCCAGAGGAAGCCTGCAGGGAGGTTTTGCCCCAGACCTGGAGAGCCCTGGAAGCCCAGCAGCTGTTGAGTAAAATTAATTCTCATCCACTTCATTGTTCCTTTTGCCAAGAATGTGAACTTCACTCAGCAGCTCTAAGTTCTTGAAAGCATTTTTTTGCCAGATATGCTGTGTTTCAGTGTCTCCTATGTACCATTTTCGAAATTCCTAGTTTGTGAGAAGTTTTTGTTTTGGGTCCAGTTTGGCCTGACACCAATACATTCTTATAAATTTCTGGCAAAGTGGAGACCTTGCATTTGGCCACCTCTAATGTTAAAGCAACTAAAGGAAAAACATAAAATAGGAGATGCACTTAATGGAGTATGCAAGAGCATTCCTTTGTTACTGATACATCCATTCCTTCTATCCCTTTTGGCACCAGCTACCCTCACTCTGTACTGGGGCAAGCTGCATATAAGCAGGTCACTAACCCTACTGCCTTAGGAAAGTCTGTCTACACTAGTTTCACATTCTCCAACCAGCTCCTTCTGAACAGAGCAATCTTACTTCCACAACAAACAGGCAGGCAAGTCAACCCCAACCCAATCTTTCAGACATCAAGGGGGGGGGGGGGGGTCAGTCCTTACTCTGCACCACCCCCATAACACATCAACCTACCTTCCTCTCCTCCAGCACTCCTGGAGTTCATAAATCTCCTCCTCATTAGCAGGTTATGAGTGCCAGCTGGCCCCAGCCTCCCAGCCAGGCAAATTTATCTCCTGACCAGCTACAGCTGGGTTCCAAGCTTAACGGCCAGACAGCTCTTTCCCCTAGGCTACTAGTTGTACCCTATTTACACTCAACATGCAAGTCAGGTTGCCCTAGAGAGTTCAGTGGGATTTACAGTCCGACTCCTAAATGTCTAGATCCATTTTGCCCAATAAGCAGACAGATAGGGTCAAGAGGAGCAATAATTGAAGGAATCAGCAAAAGAGCCAAGCAGGGTGAGCAGTGGCAGGCTTCAGGGGGATCAGATTCAGATGGGGGACAAAGCAGCAGCAGTAGCATAAATTGAACGTAATGGCCAAGTGCAGATGGTTAAAAAGCCTGAGGTTGATTTGATTCAATCTTTGCAGGTTAGTCTCAGCTCTTTCCTGATAAACAACTGAACAGACATTCACTTTTGATTCTGGAAATGCAGCTGTGTACCTGCAGTGGTCCAGGCCAGAAGCAGGGGTATAACTAGAGCATGCCTCCCCACAAAACTGGAGCAGATGGTTTGGGGCAAGTTTCGCTGCCCCTCTCTGCAAGGAGGGGAGGTGCAAAGCATCCTGAGATGCTGGGGGACTATAAATTAACTATAATCTAGAAGGAATCTGAGACGGTAGTTCAATAAACCAATGTAACTTAAATCAGCTAAGTCTGATACTACATCCATCTGGGTTTATCTTAAATTGGCTTCGGCCATTTTGAAAGCAGTTTACGTGCATTGAACTTCTGTTGTGTTACACACTTGAACCAGTTTCCAATTATTCACACCAGTTTATGTGTAATTTCTGTTCCTAGCCAATAGATTAGAGTCTCCCACTTACACTGGACACGTGTTTGTGACAGAGAGGTAGGACACCCAACCCTACTTTCCTATGCTGGCCTTGGCTTCAGAGTGAGAGAGAATAGATAATCTCAGGACAATCCAAACCATTTAACTCAATAATGCTATAGATTTAAAAGGATACTGCCAGGGGGAGCGGGGAAACGGTTATGTTTTGTTCTATGTCCTGCTCTGTGGATAATATCTAGACAATTTTTTTTTTATTGTTTAAAAACAACATGGAGCAATTGTTAAGGTTAAAAAAAAAAAATCTTCCAGCCTGTCAAAGCAGGGAATTCTTAATGACTTCCACTTTACTTCTTAATTCCAGTTGATCTTGTTGGGAGTTTGCTGCATAAGGCATGTGCTAAAGGATTAGGTCCCGAGGGCTGGTAAGAGTTCTCATTGTCAGCCGGACAGTTCTATGCTGACAGCACTACCATTTCTGGCTTATCTCAAGATTTGCCTGGTGTCCACATGCACAGTGACCATGAGTTCACTTTCAAAACATTTCAGTGGTACAACCACTAACATTTTGCCGTAAGGTTCAGTTATAATTTCAGGTATAAATTACTTGGTTGTAATAATGAGTGTAATTATCTTTTTATTATCTTGGCTGCTTCATTAAAAGTAGTCTGCATTGTGCCTGCTACCTTTATCTTCATTTACTGCAAATGAAGGCTCATGCATTTTTATTTTGTCAATTGCTGATCTTTCTGTAAAAATCAAGGTTTTACAGACAGTTTTCTTCCCCTGACTATTTTATACTTTTGATATCTTTTTAAGTCTAACTCAATTTTCCTCACTTTTGGAAGGCCTTTGAGACTCAAATAATTGAAGCTATTACTGTCTGCATGGGAGTACATTTTAGTTGCTCTTGGAAAAAAATGTAAATCCTTATATAAAGGCTAACTACATTTTTTTTTACCTTGAGTAAAAACCTTATTTTAAGATTTATGAAATGCATTTTCTAACATAAGCCTAAGATAGGACCAGAAGAAAAAAAGTATGTATATTCTTGTTCCAAAATGCAAAACCTTCCTATACAAAAGAAAACCAGAGAGAATTCCTCTTTACGGAGCTCAACTTGGGAGAATAGGAAAGTACGCGAAAAGCTATATAGTATTACAGCACTAACAATACGTGCAGCTGGCATGGTGCAGCGCTCAGTTTATATTGTTAGCCATAAAATATCAGTTCTCAGCTCATTACATCTTTGTTATCTTGCTAGATGAGTTCAGCGAAAGTGAGCCTGTCCATTTTTACAAATAAAGGGGAATTGTGAAAGGATATACATGTTTTCTTTAAGCCTACACACTAAAGACCTCTGCAGTTACGGTGTTTTCACCACCTATAGTTTTGTGCTTACTACAGTTGACCAAATACTGTCATTTTGTCTGCAAATACCAACAAATTCACTTCTCATTGTGCTTGCTTTCCATGATCATCAACCAACTCTGAAGAAAGCAAATCTCAAACTTAATGTCTGTGCATATATGCGCCAATTCATAGATGTCATAGACATTAGGGCTGGAAGGGACCTTGGAAGATTATCGAGTCCAGCCCCCTGCCCCATGGGGCAGGAAGTCAGCTTGGGTCAAAGGATCCCAGCAAGATAAGCATCCAAATGTTCATGATCAAGCTACATTCATGCCTGTTACAGTCATTAAATACGCAAATATTAACATATAAAGAGTGCCACCTAGTGGGACAGGAAAATATGCAGCACTTTTATACATTTGTATAAATGAATAAAGTTATTGTTGTCCATAGCTCTTAATACAAGCCCAATGAGAGGGTAAGAGCAATCCCACATGATTTTTATGACTAATCAAAGCTAAGAGCACAACAGTAAAACTAGCTATCAAATGTGGAGAACTCTGTGATTGTTCCCGAGTGTGAAGTAAATAAAGAATAAATTTATAGTATAAACAAGGAATACATGTCAAGATACTGATCTACTCGGGGTGTTCCACGAACATTATTAAGGGACAGCATTTCTGTACGGTCTACTTTTAACTCTGGAAGTTGGATGGAGAGGTGATAAGTCTTATACTGCCCTGGCAGGAGGCTATGGTCTTGTTCATACCACTGCTGTGCTAAGCCCAGAACCATTCCTGGAAAGCATATTCTGCACACCTATTCCTGTACACCATGTAACACATCCCAAAAAGGAGGCAGTGCTGCTCACTTGGACCAGTCTTGAGCATCTGCCTCAGTGCTGTTCCTGGGCTCTTTGGATCAGAGTTGTGTGCAGCTTTGTTGCTTCATTTGCAGGACTTGGCATCTGCTGAGCAGGAATGAATGGGCACAGTACAATTCTTGGAAGGTGGCACAGCAGCAGCAGCATGGGCATAGCCGGTGTGGAGTAGATACAGTGGAGTGACATGCAGAAACCTCAGAAGAGCTGAGGCCTATTCGTTCTGGGCAACTGACCTTGAGTAAGTTGCTCCAACTCTGTGTCTCAGTCTCTCGCCTTATAAAACAAGACAGATCTTGACCAATTTTGGAAAGACCAATTGATAAGAGCATTTCATAAAAGCTATGGTTGTGCCACTGCTATAGGGGTGTGTTTGTATGTGTATGTGTAAAAAGAAAAGTATGAGATCATGGAGCTGAGTACTGTATCGTCATACATGTGTGCCGTGGGGCTGAAGTAAGGTGGCATCATCCACCTCAAATCTAGCATTTTCAAAATTTTTTGAGTGTTTGTTTTGCAAGTTTGTTATTATTATTTTTAATAGTCTCATGGGTGTAATTTTTAGGTTTAAATAATGACAACCTCACTAATGCTATCACTGGCATCATCCACATGGTTCTTCAAAAGGGCTGGGTCATTGAGAGACCCACAACCCAAACGCTTCTAAATTACTGGGAGCATGCAGCATTTGTCACCCTCCGTGTAAACCAGAACTAGAGAAGGGCAAGCCTTTGTCAGTGGGTTTCACAGATTTGTTGTAGACAGCTGAGGAAACCGACTTTGGATTTGTCCATACCACTTCATTATGGTGCCAAGTAGCCCCACAATGCGATGCGCCACACTAACTCCGTATGTACTATCTCCTGAACTAGATGCATTGTAGCCACTTTGCTGCTGTGCTGCACATTGTCCAGACCAAATTTTAAGTGTATGCTGGCAACACAAGAGTTAAGTTTGATCATGCGCAGACAAGCAGACAAGGCCTATGGAAAATTCCACAGCGTGCCCAGCATGTGCCCCCTGTGCGACCCTTGGCTTGTCAATCAAAGCTGACCTAGTTTTGTGGGAACACGCATGCTCAATTCTGCTCAGCAGATGAAGTAATCTGACCAGACACATGCTCAGTCTACAGACTGCATGATGTAATCAGACTAGAAATTTCTTTAGAGAAGACAACCTGATTGGCTACCCGGTTGTCATAACGACTTGGGGGGGGGACAGAGTTAGCGAAAGAGAGTTGGAGAGA